TCTTTGTGAATACATGTTTTCGACTTTTCCAGGTAGATACCTAGGAGAGCACTTGCTGAGGCAAATGGTAACTCTATTCTTAATTTTTTGAGGAAACACCAGCCTCTCTTCCACAGTGGCTGTACCCAGTCCATGTTCTCACCAGCAGTGAATTAAGGTTCCCTTTCTCCACAACCTCTCCAACACTTGTTACTCCCTGTCTTCTTAATAATAGCCATTCTAACAGGTTGTGAGGTGGTATTTCACTGTAATTTCCCTAATAGTGAAGTGGAACAACTCTTCATATGTCTGTTGACCATTTGTATGTCTTTTGGGGAGAAGTGTTTGTTCAGGTCCTCTGCTCATTTTTTAAAATTATTTTTGTTATAGATGTTTCTCCTTCCCCCCCCCCCCCGACACTCTCCTCACGATCTCCCTCCTCCCCCAGCATTGTTGTCTGTGTCCATTGGTTATGCATATGTGCATATAAGTTCTTTCGTTTATCTCATCCCTCTCCCCCATCCCCCTCCTCTGAGGTTGTCAGTCTGAATCATACTCCTTTCTATGTCTCTGGGTCTGTTTTGTTCATCACCTTATTTAGCTTATTATATTGCACAAATAAGTAAGATCATAAGGTATTTGTCTTTCTCTGAATGGCTTATTTTGTTTAGGATAATACTCTTCAGGTCCCTGCATGTTGTCTCAAAGGATAAGATATCCCTCTTTCTTAGAACTGCATAGTATTCTATTGTGTAAATGTACCACAGCTTTTTTATTCACTCATCAATTGATGAACACTGGAGCTGTTTATAGATCTTAGCTATTGTAAATAGTGCTGCTATGAACATGGGGGAATATATATTCTTTCTGATTGGTGTTTTAGGCTTCTTAGGATATATTCCTAGAAGTGGGATCACTGGGTCAAATGGCAGATCAATTTTTAATTTTTTGAGATAACACCATATTGTTTTCCATAGTGGCTGCACCAGTCTGCATTCCCACCAACAGTGTACTGGAGTCCCCTTTTCTCCACACCCTCGCCAACACTTGTTTGATGATTTGTTGATGGCGGCCATTCTGGCAGGTGTGAGGTGATACCTCAGAGTCGTTTTAATTTGCATCTCTCTAATGATTAGTGACATTGAGCCTTTCTTCATATGTCTCTTGGCCCTTTGTATGTCCTTTTTGGAGAGGTGTCTATTTAGGTCCTCTGCCCATTTTTAATTGGATTATTTGTCTTCCTTTTGTTGAGTTGTATGTGTACTCTATATATTTTGGAATTAACCCCTTATATGATGTATCATTGGCAATTATGCTCTCCCATAGAGTGGGTTGCCTTTCCATTTTGATGATTGTATCTATTGCTGTGCAGAAGCTTTTTAGTTTGATGTAGTCCCATGTGTTCATTTTCTCCTTTGTTTCTGTTGCCTTAGGTGATATAACAGTGAAAATTCTGCTGCGTATGATGTCTGAAATTTTGTTGCCTACAGTTTCTTCTAGGGTTTTTATGGATTCATGAGTCACATTTGAGTCTTTTATCCATTTTGAGGTTGTTCTTGCGTATAGTATAAGTTGACGTTCTAGTTTCATTTTTTTTTTTTTTGTGGGTTTTTTTTGCATTAGCTGTCCAATTTTCCGAACACCATTTATTAAAGAGGCTGTCTTTACTCCATTGTATGCTCTTGCCACCTTTGTAAACTATTAATTGAGCATAATGTCTTTAGTCAATTTCTGGGTTCTCTGTTTTGTTCCATTGATCTATATGCCTGTTCTTGTGCCAGTACCAGGCTGTTTTGGTTACAGTCGCTTTGTAGTATAACCTGATATCTGGTATATCTGGTAATGTGATCCCTCCTACTTAGTTCTTCTTTTTTAAGATTGCTGTGGCTATTCAGAGTCTTTTTTAATTCCATATAAACTTTTGAATGTTTATTCTAGTTCCATGAAATATGTAGTTGATATTTTTATGGGGATTGCATGAATCTGTAGATTGCTTTGGGTAGTATGGACATTTTAATGTTAGTTCTTCCAATCCATTAACAAGTTATATGCCTCTACATTTTTATAGCTTCCTCTATTTCTTTTTTCAATGTCCAGTAGTTTTCTGTGACGAGGTCCTTTACTTCTTTGGTTAAGTTTATTCCTAGTATCTTAATTTTTTGTTGCAATGGTGAATGGTATTGTTTTTTTAGTTTCTCTTTTTGTGTGTTCATTACTCGTGTATAAAAATACCAGTGATTTCTGGATGTTAATTTTGTATCCCGCTTCCTTGCTGAATTCATTTACTAGCTCTAGTACATTTTTGATGGGGTCTTTATGGTTTTCTACGTACAACATCATGTCATATGCGAATAATGACAATTTCACTTTTTCCTCTGCAGTTTGGATCCCTTCTGTTTTTTCTTCTTGTCTGATTGCTGTGTCTAAGACTTACAATACTATGTTAAATAAGAGTGGCGAAAGTTGATATCCCTGTCTTGTTCCTGTTCTTAAGGGAAATGCTTTTAGTTGTTGCCCATTGAGTATGATGTTGGCTGTAGGTCTGTCATAAATGGCCTTTATTATGTTGAGATATGATCCTTCTATTCCCACCTTGCTGAGCGTTTTTATCAGAAATGGATGCTGGATTCTGTCAAATGCTTTGTTAGCATCTGTTGATATGATCACATGATTTTTATCTTTCATTTTGTTTATGTGGTGCATCACATTTATTGATTTGTGAATATTGTACCAGCCCTGCATCCCTGGGATAAATCCCACTTGGTCATGGTGTATAATTTTTTTTTTTTTAATATATTGCTGGATTTGATTTGTTGAGATTTTGTTGAGGATTTCAGCATCTGCGTTCATCAGGGATATTGGCCTGTAATTTTCTTTCTTTGTACTGTCTTTATCTAGTTTTGGGGTTTGGATTATGCTGGCCTCATAAAAAGAGCTTGGAAGTTTTCCTTTCTCTTGAGCTTTTTGGAATAGTTTGAGGAAAATAGGTGATAGTTCTTTGAATGTTTGGTAAAACTTCCCTGTGTAGCCATTTGCACTGGGGCTTTTGTTTGCTCAGATTTTATTGATTACTTATTCTATTTCCTTAATTGTTATTGGTCAGTTTAGGTTTTCTGCCTCATCCCAATTGAGTTTTAGAATAGTATATGATGCTAAGAATTTGTCCACTTCACCTAGGTTGTTGCATATAATTGTTGACATATAATTGTTAATAGTATTTTCTTTTTTTTTTTTTATCTTCACCCAAGGACATTTTTTGATATTTTGTTCAGACAGAGTGGGAGGGAGAGAGAAGAAGAGAGAGAGATAAACATCGATGTGAAAGGGACATACCGAGTGGTGGCCACCCGCATGACCCAACCAGGACCGGGGACAAACTGCAACCGAGGTCCGTGCCCTTAGCAGGAACCGAACCCAGGTCTCTCTGGACTGCAGGCCGACGCTCTAACCGCTGAGCCATATTGGCCAGGGCCATAGTATTTTCTTACAGTCATTTGTATTTCTGTGGCATCTATTGTTAGTTCACCTCTTTTGTTTCTGATTTTATTAATTTGCATTCTCTTTATTCCTTTCTTGGTGAGTGTGGGTAAAGGCTGATAAATCTTGTTTATCTTTTCTAAGAACCAGCTCTTGGTTTCATTCATCTTTTGCATTGTTCAGTGGTTCTCACCCTTCCTAATGCCGACCCTTAATACAGCTCCTCCTGTTGTCTGAGGGCGCATTGCACGTGGGCGGACCCGCCTGGAGACAGACAGAGGGCGGGGTCTCAGCTTCTGCTGCAGGTGCCTTGACAGCACCACTGCTGTGCACTGCTCCGCGTTGACACAGTGGGGTCCACTGGTCCTACGGTGCAGGGTGCACTGGGGGACTCAGGTCGCCGGGCCCTAGCCGCTCCCCGCTGCCTCCTGCCAGGGAAGACCAGGGAGGAGAAGCTCCCTGACAGCCGCTTCCCTCAGCACCAGCTGCTCCCCATCCACAGCGCTGGACCCTCTGCCCCATGTTTCTGCACTGCTTAGACTGCTGGTCCACACTCATGTCCACTCACACTCTCACACTCGCTCACACTCTCACACACTCACCCTCGCTGGGTCCTGCACGTCCTTATCTTTTATTTCTCCCAATCTGTTTTTTACTTTGAAGACTCATGGGACACCTATAACTAACTTCAGCTCCAGAGGTGAGTGGAAGTGGTCTGACCCAGGCAGTCACTTGAGCTAGGAGTCTACATCCTGGCGCATGGCATGGTGACGTTCAGAGTCAACTGAGCATCTGCATTGATTACTCACATGTACTCTACCTGAATAACACAATGACCGTGCTCTATACTCTGATAAACAGGATGACACATTGGAAAGAACATGGACTTTGGGGTTAGAAGTACTTAAGTTTAACTAGGTGGGTCATTTACATATTAGAGAGATGCTGTTGTAATTAAAGACGATACATGAAAAGTGCTCAACCCTTTGACATGTGATAAGCAGTCAGTAAGTTATAGTCTTCTTGTTCTCCTTGTTATTAGTCATCACCCAGAACTCAGAAACATGAAATACTGGAATTCCTTTCTCTGATAACCTTTTTTCTTTCTGACTGAATGAATGAAATTTCTCCCCACCCTCACCCCTGGTTTCAAATCACATCACATCTTCCAGCTTACTTCTCTGAGTTATTCTCAAATGTTCACACGCACACATATCTTTGACTTAAATGTTTACCATGTCTTCTTTTGTCCTCTTCTTAAACAGGACATGTCCCGATTTGATCATTTGATTCCTCCCCTCCCCCATCCCCACCATTTCCCTCATTATCTTCCTCTCTACTTCAGTCCGTAACGTTGCCACCGACTTGGTTACCCTGGCCTGAGACTGAGACCTCTCTTTGACTCCTGTATTTTCTTTAGCATGTCAGTAGGCTCTGCTTCTAACTCGCGTCATGCGTCTGACCACATCTGGTGTTACCTCCCCCCCTGGGAACTGCTGCCGCCCCTCATCCCTGCTTTCTGCCTGTGCCCTTGTTCCCTCAAGGTCAAGCAAGCGTCAGGTCTGCTCACTCCACTGCGGTTCACCAAATTCCAGACATTCTGCCACGGCCTTTGGGTATGATCAGACCTCTGTCTCCTTTCCTTACCTCGGATTTTTTAATTCATTTTGTCCCAGCGCACCTGACCTCCTTCTCTCCCTTGAGTATTCCATGCTCAGGGTTACACCAATGCCTTTGCCCTTACTTTTCTGTCTTTCTGGAACTCTCGTCCTACAGTTTTGGTGTAGTGTCACCTTTCATAATTCAAATAGCTCAAAGGTCACCTCCGGAGGGAGGGGTTATCCTGACTTTCATGTTTTTCTTAAGCTTTGTACTGTCTTCATAACTGTACTATCTAAACTTAATTGTAAATATTTGTTGACATGTTTTTAACTCTCATTCCACTAGAATATAATGTCCAGCAGTGTGTCCATCTGGTTTACTGCTATATTTTCAACATCTGTAATAGTGCCTGGTACATAATAAATGCTCAGCAAATATTTGTTGAATTAATGAAGGAATGAATGAAGGGTAACTGGAGGGTGAAAGAATCACAGAATGTGTTACATGTATCACTAAGTAATAATAGTAACCTTTTTTAAGGTATAAAATGTTTTATTTTTCAGGATTAATTGGAATTCTTCGAAATGTCAGGTAAGTTTTTCTGAATAAGTTTTAATATGCTTTATTTTCAAATGTGAATTGTGTGATTGCTTTCCTTAAAAATTGGAGTTTATGCCCGGCTGATGTGGCTCATTGGTCAAACATCGACCCAGGCACCAAGAAGTCGTCAGTTCGATTCCTGGTCAGGACACATGCCCAGGTTGTGGGCCCAATACCCAGTGGGGGGCATGCAGGAGGTGGCCAGTTGAAATTCTCTCTCATCAATGTTTCTCTCTCTCCCTCTCCTTCTAAAAATCAAAAAAGATGAAGGAATTAAGAAGTACAAATTGGTTGTTAGACTAATGAACCTCAAATGGAAGGGGGGAGGGAGGACGGGATGAGATAACCCAAAGAACTTCTCTGCATATATGCGTAGCCAGTGGACACTGACAATAGTGTGGGGAAGGCAGGAGGGGGCCGGGATTGGGGAGGAGGGGGGTCAATGGGGAAAAAAGGGGGGACATCTGTAATACATTCAACAATAAAGATGAGTTAAAAAAATAAAAAAATATTGGAGTTTATTTCATTTTGAAATTTTTATTAGTCTTTGCATAACATATATTCATGTATATATACTTTTTATACTTATGAACATTCCTTTCTATCTTTAACAAAAAGGATTAAAATGGATTTATATGAGCACATATATACTGAAAGGTCCCTAAAACATGTGGGGAAATTTGGGTAAAGGAAAAATATGGGCAGGAAAGGAAGTCTGCAAAGAGAGGTCGTAGTAATAAAAAGCGTGTCATGGCATTGACGAGCCCCTGCATCGTCAGGCAGCGCAGGAGGTGGTCTCAGGAGAGAGACGCCGCAGTTACGGGGTGTGTGTGTGTGTGTTTTAGATAAAGTCAATCCGTTCAGAGATTCAGAACTTTTCCTTATGGTGAATCCAAGGAGAACTGCTCTGCTTTCAACAGGAGGACACGTTACAACATCACGAAAAGTGATTTCCATGCCTCCTTGAAGCAGTTGTGGTGCCGGGTCCTTAGGAGAGCGGCGCGGGGTGCGAGTCCCTGGAGAGGCCGACTGACCCACTCGGAGCGTGCAGGGCGCTGGCCTGTGGGCCGTTTAGTGGTCACTGCTCCGTTTCGAACCTCCTAAGCATTTATCATGTTACGTTTTGAGTTAAGTTAAACACAGGCATTTTTCAAAATGGGTTCAGGGGAAAATCCGATTTACCCCATATCTGACTGTATGTGTTAGGAAACGAGTTTCCGACACCGGGGAAGGGGTTTATGAAGGTAGGGGTCAGCCTGGGGTTCCCTGAGCCGCAGCCCCGAAGCTTGTCGCCTTGAGCATTGCTCAGTGGTTTCCCGTTTCCTTTCTTCATCCACATTCAGCCTGAAAATTCATCAAATATATTAATAGGTCGATGTCTACTATACATAATGAATTATGTTTTTGGTATGAAATATGAGTGTATTTCATATTGATTAAATGCATTGGTGCATCCAACAAGCAAAAAAATGAATCTATTCTGTTACAGCATCATTTCCGTTGTAAATCATGTCCCCTCTCCCCCCAAATGTGTAGCTCCCACAGCCCCTGCGCCACCTGCAAATGAAATGGAAAGTGAATGGAAGTCACCTGCTCCGAGGCCTGCGGAGCCCCCTGACTACAACTCCCACTTTGTGCCAGGTAGGTCAGTGTCCAGAGAGGATCATCCCCCTCTCTCGACAGCCATGTACTAGTGAAGATTGTTTTTAAAAGTAATTAGTGAGCCCTGGCCGGTTAGAGCTTCAGCCCACGGAACAATGAGTCATGGGTCCGATTCTGGTCAAGGGCATGTGCCTTGGTTGCGGTTGGTCCCCAGCCCTGGTTGGGTCGTGAGGGAGGCCACCAGTGGATGTGACTCTCTCACATCGATGTTTCTCTCCCTCCCTCTCTCTCCCCCCACCCCCCTCCCACTCTATCTGACGATAAATAGAAAAGCAAGGATTTTAAAAAGTAATTAATGAATTGATAAATATTGAGTGCCCAGAGGGTGCCAATAGGTTACTAGGTGTCAGTTAAGACCCTGCCTGCCCCGGGTTTGTAGGCTCCCGCGGAAGGACGCCGACGGCCTTCTCTTTGCTGGACTGTGGGAATGTGGGGAGACAGTAGGAGGACACAGAGCTCAGCAGCTGGCCAGGGATCTGGGGCAGCCCTAGCTGAGGAAGTCACATTTTGCTGGCAGGATAGTTTCTCGGCCAAACAAAAGGGAAGGGGACCGCGGCCGGCGGAAGAACACGGTGTCCGAAAGCACAGGTCAGGAAGGTCTGGTAAGAAGCGTGCGCGGGACAGACGGCCAGAGGAGGTGGAAGGCCCTGCAGCTGCTGGAGGAGCTCGTAGTTCTGCAGATACTCGCCGGAGTCTGAGTGCACTGCAGGTGGTGCCTCGGGGCTCCGGGGCATGGATGCTCGCTGCGTCTGAGGTCTGAGTCAGTCCAAGTCTTTCTAGAAAGTGTGCAATGAGGAAAGTTCTTCAATTACAAATATACCTCTAAGGAAATAGTTTTCATCAGGATTATATTCAAATGCATTTGAATGAGTTAGAAAGTGATAGGTAAGGGGATAGCAGTATTTCTTCAGATACATATTTATGTTTATTTAAATGTGGAAACCATTGAGTTAGGCTGTGAAAGGGCAGGAGAAACCCGGGTGTCCACAGGATGACGGCAGAGACCGTGTCCCGGCCTTAGAGTATGACCCATGCAGCTCACGTAGCCTTTGCGCCCCCCCCCCGCCCCCGTGTTTTCTGAAAACAACAAGGCTTTCTTTCCCACGTGTCCCATCGAGTGGGTCTGATCCGGTATAACTCCCCTTAACTGCCTCGACCCTGCTGAGTGCCAAGGTTTTGCCAATCCCAAATTATAATCTTGCTGTATCTGATCACTTCTCTCTATTTTATTTTTTTATTTCAGGGACTAGCGACACGATCTACATAGTCAATCTTACTGTCACCAGTCACTCTATCTGAGCACCTAAGTTCCACTAGAACAGAAGTTCCACCATTCCTAAGACATTCTGGGCATCTGGGAAAATGTTTATTCCTGAGTGAATAAAAAAATTAGCAAGAGTGTAGTAGACCTCCTTCAAATTAAATGGCTAGATAAGTTGAAAAATACTATGATGCAGAGCATACAACTAATGAATTTTGTTATGAACTAGTAACAAAAATTTTCTGCCACCACCACCTAGTGGCTGAACTCTGTACTTTCTTATGGTGACAAGATTGGATCCCAGTGATTCACATTAAGGAATTTGAAATACTGTACTTGAAATATTTGGCTTTAATTAATTTATTTAAATTAAATTATACAATTTTCATTTGTATTATGGTACTGGATACATATTCTTTCCCAAAATTAATTTGTCCAAATATGTTTAAAAGAATACTTGATAAAGAAACCTTTGTTATACATAATCTGCTTAAAGAGAAAACGACATAATTTCTTGAAATAAAAAAAAAGATGATAAGATTCAAAATTACTAATAAAAACACACAGATTCCACAAGGCAACATTTCTCACACTAATATTGGTAGGACAGTGCTCCATAACAGACTTCTTTCTTTTTCCACATAGTTACCTTTTAATTTTTTTTTTATGCTAAGAACACTTCAGATCTGCTCTGTTAGCAAATTTTAAGTATATGATACGGTATTATTAACTGCAGTCACCAGGGTCAGAACTTATTCACCATTTGTTTAACTTTAAATAGTTTTTTTATTTTTTATTTACCATTGATATACAATATTACATTAGTTTCAGGTGTACAACCGAGCCGTTAGACATTACATACCTTCCTAAGTGATCATTCGATAAATCTAGTGTTCATCTGACACATACATAGTTACTGCAATATTACTGACTATAGTTCCTGTGCTGTACTTGACATCCTTGTGACTGTTGTATAGCTACCAATTTGTACCTTTTTCTATTTTAAATATGTTTTTATTGACTTTAGAGAGAGAGGAAGGGAGAGAGGAAGAGAGAGAGAAACATCGATTGCCTGCCTCCTGTGCACCCCATACGGGGGATTGGGCTGTAACCCTGGCATATGCCCTGACTGGGAATTGAGCCAGTAACCTCTGGACTCTCAACCGACTGAGGCACACTGGCCAGGACCCAATCTGTATTTCTTAATCCCTTCACCATTTTCACCCATCCCCCCAAGTCCCCTCCCACCCAACAACCATCAAAATGTTCTCTGAATCTGTTGGTCTATTTCTGTCCTTATTTATTTTGTTTTTAGATTCCACATTTAAGTGAAATCACATGGCATTTATTTTCCTCTGTCTGACTTATTTTGTTACTGACTGGAGTTACTTGTTGGGATCTCAGTTCTTGTCCTTGGCACAGAAAATAATTTAAGGCCAACAAAACCAAAAATAAAGCAAAGTGGGATTTGTTAAAGATACACTCCAGGCACGGTGCAGGCCAGTCAACAGAGACAGTGGCTCTGAACTCCATGGATTATTTGGTTTAAAAGAGGAATTTTTCTGGGTGGAGACTTCATTTGCATATAGGGATGATAGACAGAAAATGGTTATATAACTATATTTCTTCTGCACATGCCCTTACCCATAATGCATATAGAAAAACCCACTGGGGGTGGGGGGTTGTCAAAGCTGTAGCGCAAATTTTATTATAATTAGCCTGGGGCCCTCGTAAGGTCGCACTGAGGCTATGCTGTTTTCCTCTGTGCTTGCGGGAGAACCTGCCCCCTGGCGGTCGGCTTCAGGAACTGCTGGCTGCAGGGCCGCCCGTAGAGAGGCCGCTGAAGGCGGTGTTGGTCCAGCCCGTTAGGACCGCAGGGCAGGCCCCACGCAGCCGCTCACGTCTAATTTCTTACCTAACATTTTCCCCCTCGAGTTAGGGGAACCCAATTCTGTGGGGTCTTTTGGCGAAGACCCCTCTGGCTGCTTCAGCTGATGCGAGTCTCCGTGGGCGTAGGGTTCCCGTGGTTGCTGGCTGTGGGCCGAGGGAGGGGCTGCTGCTGTCCGGGGCCCAGAATGAGGGTCTGTCGTGTGGTTGTGCTTGGGACCCTCCAGACAGCCCTTCGGAGCTGTGTGGCGGCTATGTGAGAAGTGGTGAATTTGTGGAATAAATGGAGTAACATGGGCCAAATGTTAGCAGCAGCATGAAGATAATTATGGGCGTAGCAAAGGGAAGGGGGGGCAGGGTTTGGTACTCCAGCGAGTCCCCAGCAGTCTGCATGCTGCTTGCCCTCAAGGGTACCTTGTAGGCTCTGGTACCTGCCCTGACTTACTGATGTGAAGGCAACATTCTTCCTGCAGGTAGGAACAGGTACCACTCTCTGTCGGGAGGTCAAGAGCCCTTCTGTTCTGAAGGGCGACATGGGCTAATCAATGGAGTGAAATATTAAATTGATTTCAAACCCCACAAATGTATCTAGTTTGTAAAACATTGTATATAATAATGTTTCCCAAACTTAGTTGTTGATAAGAATTAAAGAATTCACTATATTTATATTAGACAAAATATAATTTAAGACAGAAATTGTTACTAGAACCCCAGCCAAGTGGCTTGGTTGGAGCATCACCCATACCCCAAAAGGTTGTGGGTTTGATTCCTGGTCAGGGCACATACCTAGGTTGTGAGTTTCATCCCCAGTCAGGGTGCTTGCAGGAGGCAACCGATAGATGTTTTTCTCTACATCAATATTTCTCTCTTCTCTCTTCTCTCTTCTCTCTTCTCTCTCTCTCTCTCTCTCTCTCTCTCTCCCCCACCCCTCTCCCTCTCTTCTCTCTCTCTCTCTCTTCTTCTCTCTCTCTCTCCCTTGCTCTCTTCTCTAAAGTCAATAAACATATCCTCAGGTGAGGATAAAAAAGATTGTTAATTGGAATAAAAGAATTTTATAATAATGAAACTGTCAACCCATCAAGAATACATATGCACCTGAAAACAGAGATCCGAAATACATGAAGCAAAAACAGAAAGAAATAAAGGGTGGTATAGAAATTCAATAAATAATAGTTGGGAACTGTAATTCCCTACTTACAATGATGGGTAGAACAACGAAGCAGATGATCTAAAAGGAAATAAAAGCCATAAACAAGCCCTGGCCAGTTTGGCTCAGTGGTTAGAGTGTCAGCCTGTGATCCAGAGAGACCCAGATTCAGTTCCTACTAAGGGCATGTACCTCGGTTACAGTTTGTCCCCGGTCCTGGTTGGGTCATGTGGGAGACAGCCACCCTATGTATCCCTTTCATGTCGATGTTTCTCTCTCTCCCTCCCACTCTATCTGAACAAAAAATGGAAAAATGAGGATTAAAAAAAAAGCTGTAAACAACACTATAAAACAACCTAGACAAAACAGGCATGCATGCAACACTACCTAACAATAGCAGACACACATTTTTCTCAAATGTACGTAGGACATTCTCTAGGCTATACCTCCTAGTTAGGCCGTAAAACAAGTCGCAATAAATTATAAAAATTGAAATGATGCAAAGTATATTCTCCCTCAATGAAACTAAATTAGAAATGAATTAAAAAATTAGAATGAAATTTGGAGAATCAAAAATATGAGGAAATTAAACAGCACACTCATAAATAATCAAAGAGGCAAAAAGAAATCACAAAAAAAATTTAGAAACCACTTTGAAATGAAAAAAAACAGAAACACAGCATACCAAAGCGTACAGGACGCAGTTAAAATAGCACCTAGAAGGGAATTCATAGCTGTGAACATGTACGTTAAACAATAAGGAATCTCAAATAAGTAACCCAACTGTGCACCTTAGAAATAAACCAGACCCGCCCCAGCCGGTTTGGCTCAGTGTTGGCCTGCAGACCAGAGAGTCCCAGGTTCGATTCCCGCTAGGGGCACATACCACAAAAAAATAAATAAATAAACAAACCAGACCCGAAGCAAGCAGGAGGAAATCTTAAAGATTAGAACAGAAGTAGAGGAAAGAAAAATAATAGACAAACTTGACAAAACCAAGAAAATAACAAATTATTAAAATACGAATGAATATGGGAACATTGCTAACAACCTTACATAAATTAAGAGTACTGTGAGGGGATACTATGAACAGGTGTCTGCCAACAAATTAGAAAACCTAGATGAGACAGACAAAGTCCTAGAAAGACACTAACAACTGAAACTGATGCAAGAGGAAGTAGAAACCTGATAACAACTGAAGAGACTGAATTAGTCATTCAAAATTTCTGACTAAGTAAATCCAAGGCCCAGATGGCCTCCTTAGGTAATTCTACTCAATGTTCAATAAAGATTTTAATACCAATCTTTTGCAAACATTTCAGAAAAAGGGGGGGGGGGGTGGTGCAGTGATAGTGAATATGTTCCCACTCATCCCACTTGTTCTATGAAGCAAGTATTACCCTATTAGCAAAATCAAAGACATCACAAGTGATGAAAACTATAGACCAATATCCCTTATAAATATAGATGTAAAAATGCTGAACAAAATACTTGCAAACCAAATGCAGCAACATATAATAAGGGCTGTACACCATGACCAAATGAGGTTAACCCCAAGAGTTTGTCATATGAAATTTAATTTCTGTAAAGTGCAATAAGGCAGACACAAAATGACAAGAACCATATGATTTCACTCATATGTGGGATCTAAAATAAAAAACAACAAATAAACAAAACAAATAGACTCATAGACACAGATTTCGGTGGTTACAAGAGGGGAAAGTGGGTAGCGGGAGGATGAAGAGGGGAACTGGGGTCACATATATGGTGACAGAAGGAGACTAGTCTTTGGGTAGTGAGCACACAATTGAGCATACAGATGTTTATAAAGTTCTACACCTAAAATATAATAATCACCTTTGCTATCTCAAGAAATACAATTTTTAAAACAAAAATTAGGTGAGGCATATATATGTATTGGGGTGTATGTGTGTGTGTGTGTGTGTGTGTATATATATATACACACACACACTATAGGACAAAAACCACTTGATCACTCAATGGACACAGAAAAGGCATTCGACCAAATGAAACATCCTTCATAGTAAAAACACTCAACAAACTGGGAATAAGAAAGAACTTTCCCAATCTGATAAAAGGCATCTATGACAATAGTGTGGGAAAATGCGGGAGGGGGTCAATGGGGGAAAAATGAGGAACATCTATAATACATTCAACAATAAAGATTTAAAAAAATTTTTTTTAAAGGCATCTATGAAAATTGAACAGCTGACATACTTAGTAAAAGTAGAACCTGTTTGCCCTACAGTCAAGAACAATAGAGGATGACTCCTCATGCCACTTCTATTCAACATTGTACTAGAGGTTCTAGCCAGGGTAATTAAGCAAGAAAATGAAATAAAGTTATCCAGGTTGGAAATATAGGAGCAAAACTATCTCTATTTGCAAATGACATGATCTTTTATACAGAAAATCCTAAGAAATACACATGCATACACACATAGCACTAATAGACGAGTTCAGTAGTGTAGTAGGGTACACGATCGATATACAAAAATCCACTGGTATATCAATGTATGAGCAATGAACAAGCCAAAAGAAAGTAATAGTACAATTCTACATATAATAACATCAGAAATAAGATACTTCAAATACACATAATAAGAGAAGTGTAAGATTTGTACACTGAAGACAAATTATTATTAAAACTAAAGAAGACAAATAAATGGAAAGATATCCCATAGTCATAGATTAGAAAAGTAAATACTGTTAAATGGCAACACCCTCCAAATTGATCTACAATTTTAACACAATTCTTAATAATTTCTCAGTAGTCTTTTTTTGAAGAAATTGGCAAGCTAATTTTCAAATATGGAAATACAAAGCACTCAGAAACTCAGAATAGCCCAATCTTGGAGGGGGAAAATTTGGAGGAGTCATGCTTCCCAATTTGCAAACTTACTACAAAGCTACAGTAGTCAGGACCACACAGTACTGCATGAGGACTGGCATGTAGACCAATAGAACAGAATTAAAATCCAGAAACAAACCCAGACATCTGTGACCAACTGAGTTTTAACAAAGTTGCCAAAACATTTCCTTGGGGAAAGAATCATCTTTTCAACAAATAGTACTAAGGTCACTGAATATCAATCCACAGAAGAATGAATTTGAACCCCTATATCACACTGTGCACACACACACACACACACACACAACCAAGAAAACTAAAAAGGAATAAAAAAACTACATGTAAGAATGATAACTATAAAACTTTAAGAATAAAATATAAGTATAATTATTCATAACCTTGGACTAAGTAACAATTTCTTAGATGTGAGACATAAAAGCACAAGCAACCAAAGAAAAATAAATTGAATTTCATAAAAATTAAAAACTTGTGCCCTGGCCGGTTTGGCTCAGCGGTTAGAGCGTCGGCCTGCGGTCCAGAGAGACCCAGGTTCAGTTCCCACTAAGGGCACGTACCTCGGTTGCAGTTTGTCCCCGGCCATGGTTGGGTCATGTGGGTGGCAACCACTCGATGTGTCCCTTTCACATCTCTCTCTCTCTCTCTCTCTCCCTCCCTCCCTCCCTCCTCCCTCCCTTCCACTCTATCTGAACAACAAATGGAAAAATGTCCTCGGGTGAGGATTAAAAAAAATAATAATAATTAAAAACTTGTGTGTGTCAAAGAATACTATTAAGAAAGAGAAGAGACAGGCCCAGCTGGTATGGCTCAGTGGTTGAGCATCGACCCAGGCACCAAGAGGTCGCCGGTTCGATTCCTGGTCAAGGCACATGCCCAGGTTGTGGGCCCGATTCCAGTAGGGGGCATGCAGGAGGCAGCCAGTTGGTGTTTTCTCTCATCAATGTTTCTCTCTCCCTGTCCCTTCCTCTCTCTCTAACATGAACAAAGAAAAATAAAATAAAGTTAAGTAGACCTTACTACCATTGCATTGAACAGACATTTTCAGGGTTAATAAAGTGCTAGCCTTGTTGTAATCCCACTACAACCTAATGAAATAGGTATATTATTTCCTCAAAAGAGGAACAACCTTAATGCACAGAGTTTATCACATTACTTCTTGTGTCAGCCTTATTTCTACACCCATGAAATGGGAATGGTTATAAAGTTTAAGAGGACTGAATGAATTGGTGTGCAGTACTGTTAGTACTGTGTTGGTACATGGTACACTCAGAAATTGGAACATCTTATTTCTTGGTGGATGTCATGTGATCCATATCATCTTCACGTAGAAAGTCATGCTAACTTCCAGTACATTGCAGTGTTGCTGATATATAATACTTTCATTTGTTTTTGAACACAGGACCCCCTGGAGCAGCTGTTCCTCCACCTGCAGGCACCCCAGGAGGCTTGCCTATGGGATATTATGGTCCACAGCAGCCCACTACCTTCCCCTACTGCCCCCCAACTGGGGGCACCCACCCTGTCCAGTACCAACCTGGCAGATATCCAGTGTCCAGTCAGTCAGCTCCAATAACATGGATGCCAGGGCCTACGCCTGCGCCCAACTGCCCTCCTGGTCTGGAATACCTGACCCAGGTACGTCACTCAAATCCAGTTTCTATTTCCTAATGAAGTGTGACCGAGGATCCCACGAGACAGAAGGCTGAACCGAGGGGATGAAGTGATGGGTCAGCAATGACAGATGCTGCTCTGTGAGACTGTCAGAGGGATGGAACTAACTGTAGACACGAGGACGGAGATCAGAGGGCATAGGCGTGTAGTAGGTGGAATGAGTATGGTTTTTGTAAAGGATATTATTGAATTTTAAGACGCTCATGATGGCCTGTTGAAGGCAGTTTAAAAATAGGATTACCAGTATAAGAAAAACTATCCAAGATGCTATCAGGGTGCCATTTGCTTAAAAGTAGAGTTAGCATGAGGAAAAGCAACATGACAAAGAACAGAACAGCAGACAGTAAATCACTGTGTGCCTTTCCCACTGCCTTTTCTCGCCACCCATCGTTTTCATCAGCCACACCTGTCCCCCCCACAACGTGCAATGTAAACAAGAATAGGAAACCTACCAAAGATACCGCTTCACGCCAAATTCCAGAGAACCCCTTCCTATAGCACAGGGACTCCCTAATTTAGATCTATGTAGGCATTCTGAAGTTACTGGGACATCCAGATCAGAAATGTCAGTATTCCAGCTTGGTATACCAAATGGTATGTTTCAAAACCCATGTCAGAAGCTCAGAAAGATTGATTAATGAAAATAAGATAAAGATAGTACTGGAGAGCCCTTAGAAACTACTGTCATGTTTCCCTTTTGAAAAAAGGAAGTGTTGGGAAATACCTTACAAGTACCTGACTTGCCAATTCAATACGTGTCTTCCCATAGAGTCAGCCAGATATTCCTTGAAGATGATTGTTCTCTTTTCGGGTCTATATGATGATAGAGACCCTGCTAATCCCCTGCATTGAAAACCACTGGTACAATGTAACAGTTTTGATCCTTGCAAGTCAGCACAGTTGGATCAGGAAACTTTGGGTTTTACGTGAGCCAAATTTTTTGTTAAATTGTTGTTTGGGCAAAATAATGACCAATGCAAAGCCAGTCATTCGGGTAAAGTGCTAGAGTAAACCCCTATGTTATCTTAGAAGCTTATAAAAGGGTTATAAGTTAATCAAGTCTACAAAATCTTTTTATACTCAGTAATTAACTGAAATTGACATTAGAGATCTAAGATCTGAATCATTTCTCTTTCGAAAATGTATAGCTTAAATATTGTTCATTCAAATAAACAGCTTCTCAATTCCTTCATTTACTTGAACTAACTTATTAACATATTTCATGAATTCTGTTTTCCCTTTCAGAAATATTTTGAGTTAAAAAAAGAAAACAAAGAAAGAAAGAAAAGGAAAGGAAACAGGTTTGGAGCCAGACAAACCTGGTTCTTCATTCTAGCCCTTCTCCCTCTGACTGTACAACCTTGAATAAGGTTTGCATTGTGCCTGATATGTTTGGCACACAGGGTCCTCTCAACAGCTGATAGCTGTGTGGATTTAGCTTCAGGCAGTGTTCTAGGCTTAGGGATTAGGAATGACCTATATTACCTAAAACTGTATAGATATGATCAGGAGGTTTTTTCTCTTCTGATAGCACGTTCTGATGTGTAACAAATAATGGGCCCATTAAACTGCCTCTCTCTAGAGTGATGCCTAAGTAAAGTTAGAAGTTCATTTCATGATATTCCCAACCTCCCTTTGAAGGGACCCCCCCCCCCAGAAAGTTTTCTCCCCTTTGCCCTCATCCTGGTCACATGCTTCCTGCCCTCCCTGCCCCTCCCATTGTTAAAGGGAAGGTCTTGGTACGGAGTAGCTCTAGTGACCACACATCAGTATGTTCATCTCTGCGAAGTACTGAGAAATGATACAAACTTGGACACTCCTGTGTGGAGTGGAGTCCAGCCTCGCTTTCTCTATGGCTGGTCCTTGTTAAAACGTCCTGAACTTCCCGAGCATCTCCAGTCTGTGAGCGACACATCAGTGAGTGGGAACTGAGCTAGGGACAAGCTGCGCCAACCCAGCTCTTTCTAATGCCGTTTCTGTGGTGAGAGGTGAAGTTCTGGTATTATAGACAGATGTTTTACTCTTTTGCAGTGGAACTGGAGAAAAATGTTTTTCCTGTCTCACCCCTCTACCAATAACCATCTAATCAGGCGCAGACAGGCTAATTCCACTTGATCAAAGTTGTTTTATTCCAAAAAGATAGTTTGGTATTAATTGATACATTTTAATACTTATTTCATCAGTTTCTTTCTAATGCTGACTTGATTGAATTCTGTTATTTCTATCTCTCCTAATTGCTTTGTTCTATCCCCACAGTTGGACAACATACATGTTCTTCAGCATTTTGAACCTCTGGAAAGTACGTATAATTCAGTAGTGTTCAGCAGCATTTGAACCAGGTGGAAATTCACATTATCCAATGTCTAGTCCCTTGTTTGTATCGATCACTTTTTAGTGATTCAAAGAAAAAAGGATGTCCTCTATTCAGGAAAGTAATAAAGGGGGATCTTTGGTATAACTTTATCTATTTGTACATCATATGGAAGCTCTTAGACCTAACAAAGATTTTCATTTATCTGGACAACTGCCCTACCCTTTGCCATCCCAGGTCCTCTGTGTGAACTTCGCATGGATGAGAAAAGGGAGGAGCCAGAGTCTAAATTAGTTAGCCAGGGGTACCCTCCTCGAGGGGCAGAGCTGCAAACCAGCTGAGTTCTATCCCAGTGCCCTTGTTTTGGAAGTGGGAAGAAGTCACAGTGTGTAGTGCCTGTTTGTTCTCGGTCCATCCTCACAGATTACTGACCCTCACTGTCCCTAATCTACACAGTCCTGTGACCATCACATGGGGCCTTTGACTTTTCTTGGTTCATTTTCTTATTTGCAATTAGTATTGACCCGAGTCATCACTGCATATTTCATGAGCTGATTGATTTATGGTCTGATATATAAATTCATTTATATGGTAATGTAATTGTTTTCTGAATTCAGGTACTCTAGGAATATTGTTTCAATCTTGTCTTTTATTTGGAAAAGTTATAAAATCATTTTACACTAAACTTCTTAAAAGAAATGATTTAATTTTTTTTTTTTTGTTAATCCTCACCCGAGGATTTTTTTTTTTTTCATTGATTTTTAGATATATTGGAAGGGAGGGAGGGGGAGAGAGAGAGAGAGCAAGAAACATCATGAGCAGGTACGTGCCCTGGACCAGGAATTGAACCCACAACCCTTCAGTTTGCTGCCAACACTCTAACCACTGAGCCAAACTGGCCAGGGCTAAATTTTTAAACTTAAATACTTATAAAGTGTACAAAAGATGTTACTATTCTAGTCAATTATATATAATTTACCTGAAATTATATAAAAGGTGTTTTGCCTTAAGCCCCTAAAAGGACTTATTTTAAAATATGTTTTTATTGATTTTAGACAGAGAGGATGGGAGAGAGATATAGAAATATCTATGAGAAAGAAACATCAGTCAGCTGCCTTCTGCACGGCCCCTACTGGGGATCAAGCCTGCAACCCTGGCATGTGCCCTGACTGGGGATGGAACCTGGGACCTCTTGGTGCATGGGACAATGCTCAATCCACCGAGCCACACCAGCTGGGCAAAAGGACTTATTTTTTATTGTTTTATTAAAGTATAGTTGACATACTATATTATATTAGTTTCAACCGTAAAACCTAGTGATTCAACATTTACACTCCTTATAATGTGATCACTAGAATAAGTCTGGATACCTTCTGCCACCACAAGTTATTACCATGTCATTGACTAGTCCCTGTGCGGTATAGTACGTCCTCATGACTTCTTTTGTGTTTAGTAATTGGAGGTTTATACCTCATATTCCCCCTTTTAGACCTTCTTTAACGACTTCTAACTTAAGATGGTTTTCTCATTTAATTTTTTAGTGATGACAAGATTTGAAGCGAATAATAAATACGATATCAAGAACAACCTGGGCCAGATGGTTTACGTGGTAAATGAAGACACAGACGACTTTACCAGGAATGCTTACCGAACCCTGAGGCCCTTCGTCCTCCGCGTCACTGACGCGATGGGCCGAGAGATCATGACAATGCAGAGACCTTTCCGATGCACCTGCTGCTGCTTCTGTTGCCCCTCCACCCGGCAGGAGGTCAGAGAACGGGATCTAATCCTTGTTTCCTGCTGATCAGCCCTCCCAGGAGGGTTTACATGCCCGCCAGTCAGAACACAACGGGACAGTGAGGAGGGAGGAAGCCACGTGGCCCCACCTGTGGAAAATTCCGGGGGGCTTTTCCTTGGGGGGTCATGCTCTTGAGTGCTAGTGGGTGGGTCAAGCCAAAGTATTGGTTCAGTGACCACAATTCTGAGTTGTGTCTTCAGAATTAGAAGTTGACCCATCAACTAGAATAGGCGTCACACACATTTATCTACATGTCCCCAGAGAAGTTATGCTAAATGTAATTTCTCCGGTTTGATGTGTGTGTGTTTAGTTCTCTGCAGTTCTATGAGCTAGGTAGATTCCTGTATCCCCCACCACGATTCAAACAGTAGTTTTATTGCCACACAAAAAACTCTTTTATAACCACATCTCCTGCTTTTTTATCCACTTGTCTACTGATGGACACTGGGGCTGCTTCCAAACCTTGGCTATTATTTAAAAAAAAAAAAAAAAAAAGCGTTGAACATAGAGGTGCATATATTCTTTTGAACTCGTGTTTTGGGTTTCTTCAGATAAATTCCCAGGAGAGGTATCACTGGGTCATAAGGCAGTTCCATCTTTAGTTTTTGAAGTAACTCCATACTGCTTTTCCCAGAGGCTGTACCAGTCTGCATGCCCACCAGCAGGGCACAAGGGTTCCCTTTTCTCCATGTTCTTGCCAACACTTGTTTATTGATTTATTGATGATAGCTCTTCTGACAGGTATGAGGGGATACCTCATCATGGTTTTAATTTGCATCTCTCTGATGATTAGTGACCTTGAGCATACTTTCATATGTCTGTTGGGCATCTGCATGTCCTCTTTGGAGAAATGTCTATTCAGATCTTTTGCCCATTTTTTAATTGGATTGCTTGTTGTTGTTTTTTAATCCTCACTCAAGGATATTTTTTTTCATTGATTTTTAGAGAGAATTGGGAGGGAAGGAGGGGGGGAGAGAGAGAATCATCGATGTGAGAGAGACACATTGATTGGTTGTCTCCAGCATGTGCCCCGGCCAGGGCCAGGGATCGAACCTGCAACCTAGGTACATGCTCTTGATCGGCAATTGAACCCAAGGTCCTCTTTCCACGGGTCAGCGCTCTAACCATGGAACCATACCCACCAGGGCAGCCACATACACAGCCGAGGACACAGAGCTTGGAGACCTGGCCATTATACAACAAGTAGTAACTTTGCCTGGCCGGCGTGGCTCAGGGGTTGAGCATCAACCCATGTACCAAAAGGTCACCGGTTCAATTCCCTGTTGGGGCACATGCCCAGGTGTGGGCCCGATCTCCAGTGGGGGACATGCAGGAGGCGGCCAGTTAGTGTTCTCTCTCATCGATGTTTCTATCTCTCTCTCCCTTCCTCTCTCTAAAATCAATAAAGAAAAAAATTTTTTATTAAAAAAAACAACAGGCTCTCAGGTTTCTGCAGTCACGAGGTGCTCCAAATCCCCTTCCTAAGGTGTCTGCAAGTAAAAACGTCGTACCCTTCCCCCAAGGCTAAGCCCTTCAACCCCAGTAACCCCTGAGTCTTCTTTGACATGGACCTCGGAGGCGAGCGAGTTGGTCAAATTGTCTTAGAATTGTTTGCAGATATTGTACCCAAAACTGCAGAAAATTTTTGTGCACTGTGTACAGAAGAAAAAGGCATTGGGCCAACCACTGGGAAACCTCTCCATTTCAAAGAATGCCCGTTCCATCGAATTATTTAAAAAATTATGCTTCAGGGTGGAGACTTCTCAAATCAGAATGGTACAGGTGGAGAAAGTATTTATGGTGAAAAGTTTGAAGATGAAAATTTCTCTTATAAGCACGACCGGGAGGGTTTATTGAGCATGGCAAATGCTGACTGCAATACAAATGGTTCTCAGTTCTTTATCACAACAGTTCCAACTCCTCATTTGGATGGGAAACATGTGGTATTTGGCCAAGTAATTAAAGGAATGGGTGTGGCAAGAATTCTGGAAAATGTAGAAGTGAAAGGTGGAAAACCTGCCAAATTGTGTGTTATTGCAGAATGTGGAGAATTGAAAGAAGGGGGTGATTGGGGAATATTCCCAAAAAAATGGTTCTGGTGACAGTCATCCAGATTTCGCTGAGATGTAGATAAAATATTATTAATAACAGAAGACTTAAAAAACATTGAAAATACTTTTTTCAAATCCCAGAACTGGGAGATGGCCATTAAAAAATATGCAAAGGTTTTAAGATATGTGGAAGGTTCAAAAGCTGTTATTGAGAAAGCAGACAGATCGAAGCTGCAGCCTGTAGCTTTAAGCTGCATGCTGAACATTGGTGCTTGCAAACTGAAGATGCAAATTGGCAGGGAGCAGCTGACAGTTGTTTGGAGGATCTTGAAATAGATCCATCAAGTACCAAAGCACTATACCATAGAGCTCAAGGGTGGCAAGGATTGAAAAATATGACCAAGCATTGGCTGATCTTAAGAAAGCTCAGGAGATAGCACCAGAAGACAAAGCTATCCAGGCAGAACTGCTGAAAGTCAAACAAAAGATAAAGGCGCAGGAAGATAAAGAGAAGGCAGCGTATGCAAAATGTTCACTTAATGAGGAATTCAGTTATGCTCAAATATTGCACATTGATGTATAAAGGCAATAGGAAAACTTAAGGGATTTTGTCTATTCATATATGATCCCTACTGTTTCTCCTTTGCTACTTCAGCTTCCTATTGTTTCCAGTGTAGGAATACTGATCCTGGGTTCACTGTTAATAAAAGTCTTACAAAGTAAAACAAACAACAATAAATAGTAACTATGTTTCAAAGGGAAGTTTGACCTTGACTCTCAAGGCCGTTCACTGAAATACAAACCTAAGAAATAGCCCGGGTGTAATGGAAGACTTTCCTAGGAGTTCCCCAGTCTCGGATGGATCAAGAGCACACCTGGGTTGTGTGTGTGTGTGTGTGTGTGTGTGCACATATACACCATCATCCCTCCATCACTGCTTCATTACAGCTCGAGGTGCAGTGCCCTCCTGGTGTCACCATGGGCTTCGTCATGGACCATTGGAACCTGTGCCGGGCGGTGTACAGCATCCAAAACGAGAAGAGAGAGACTGTGCTGCGTATCCGTGGGCCGTGCTCAACCTACGGCTGTGGCTCCGATTCTGTGTTTGAGGTAGACAAACGTAAACATAATGTGGCTTCCATTTTTATCCATGTGTACTAAGACTTCAGAATGATTCGGTTTTAGATTACTTTTCATGTGAATCAGTAAATTCGTCTGAGGAGTGAACTGGTTGACATTATATGAGTTTCAAATGATTGTTAGTGGAGTGCTTAATGTTTTTCAAAATGTGAACTTTTTTTTTTTCTTTTTTTTTTTTTATCCTCACCCAAGGACATTTTTCCATTTTTTATACAGATAGAGTGGGAGGGAGAGAGAGGAAGGGAGAGAGAGAGAGAAACATCGACGTGAAGGGACACATCGAGTGGCTGCCACCCGCACGACCAACCAGGGCCGGGGACAAACTGCAACCGAAGTACATGCCCTTAGCGGAAACCGAACCTGGGTCTCTCTGGACCGCAGGCCGACGCTCTAACCGCTGAGCCAAACCGGCCAGGGCCAAAATGTGAACTTTTTAAAAGTGATTTTAGCCCGGCCGGTGTGGCTCAGTGGTTGAGCATCGACCCATGCATCAGGAGGTACCGGTTTGATTCCCAGTCAGGGCACATGCCCAGGTTGTGGGCCAAATCCCCTATAGGGCACATGCAGGAGGCGGCCAGTCGATGTACTTTCTCATTGATGTTTCTATATTTATTTTCCTCTCCCCTCCTCTCTCTCTAAAACCAATAAGGAAAGGAAAATTGTCTTTTAAATACTGAAGAAATAAAAACGATTTTAGTGTTTGGTAAAGATAAGAGAAACTATTAAAACATCAATCCTGAGAGTAAGTAGCCTGACATAAATCTATTTGTTTTATTCTTGGTTGTATTTAATTAATTGTTTTTACCAAAGATGTCCAGGCTCAGAAAACACGTCCTGAGTAATGAAAGTGCCCACCTTATCACAGAACACATAGGTCATGCACGCCACTTATTTGCAAGTTGGAAGTCTTTATCCTCAGGCAATAGGACAATGCTGATAACATGCATAAAGCTCTTGGGTTATAACATTTTCTCAGAAAAAAAGAAAAATCCTCTTGTTTTGCCTTTATCTCAGTGGATACAAAATGATTGCATATAATCCTGTGAATTTCACAAAGGAGATTCCTAGAAATATTTCCTGGGCTTCTTAGAGTCTTTTCTGATTGCCTTGAAAGACTCAGCATCTATAATCACTCTTCCCGGTGTTGTCCACGACACCCAATAAAACTCAGTTTACGTCACCATGTCATCAAGCATTGCCTATTTTTTAAAAGACCATGTAGCGAGATAGGAAATATAGATAAGCCAAACTTCAGGGGCAGGCTGTGTGGGATCATTCGGATCACCAAAAGTCAGTCTCTGAGGGTTTTCCTTCTGGCAAGTGCCAGGGTCCCCCTTTCAGAAGCTGAAGTCATTTGGAGTCCTGGCACAATTTAAGAAGACACGGATGGTTGGTTTGGCCCACGAGAGGCGAAATGATTATATGGAATTTGTGAAGTGCACAGGACTGTGCCTCATCGCGGATGCTCGTGTGTTTCCCTGCACCGGGAGCAATTCCCTTCCAATCCCCCCCAGTCCCACCCTTTGCTAGATGGAGGAGAACTTCAAAATCAGTTCCAATCATACCTCCCTAATAACGCATCTGAGGATGAAGATGATACATAGTATTCTGGCCCGTTAACCAATGGCAGGACACTTAATCCTTCTTGGCCATAATTCCCTATTTGAAATTATGTCATTTATTAATATATTTATTCATTCCCTGCACTGTATTTGTGCTCAGTGACACTGCTTCTAAATAGAAGGATACAACATGCTTTATAACATTATTTGGTTATCATGAAGTCAAAGTCTGGTCTTCCTAGGTCAAATCCCTGGACGGTGTGCCCAGCATCGGCAGCATTGTGCGCAAGTGGAACGGGCTGATGTCCGCCATGGGCGACGCGGACCACTTCGACATCTCCTTCCCCTTGGACTTGGACGTGAGGATGAAAGCTATGATCTTCGGAGCGTGCTTCCTCCTCGTAAGCCTTCCGCTTCAGTGTTCTCTTGAGGGAATTATTTCTGACGAGAAGCAGAAAGATGATAGCTTTGTAGTAGAAAGATGATAGCTTTGAAACGAGACCGGATCCTGACCCTACCACTTCCTAGTTACATGTTTTGAAAGTGTTTAGTGCTTGAAAGCCTCATTCTCCTCATCTGTAAACTGGAGATAAAAATACTTATATATTCAGTGTTATGCATAGGAACTACCACATGAATTAAGGGGCAGGAGAGTGCTTGGAAGATATGAAGTATCCGATGGGGTCATCACTACATGCTATTGATTATTTTTGCCACTAATGAAAGCCTGTTCCTCTGACTTCTTAATGAAATGAAATGAAATGACTCTGAAGCTGATGCCCTTTCCTCCACTTACTGCTTCTCTGTCAGTACGGTGCTTGGTTTTACACCACCCTTAGATTTCTAGGTGCAACCCCCTTGCTGTATTTCTGGCTAATTAGTGCTCAATAGTCATGAGTAAAGCATAGACATGAAAATGATAATATTTACCCTAAGATCCTCACTGACATATTGTAATTGGTATATTTAACTTATTTAATATTGATTATGAGATTTTTGTTCCTTTTAACAATAAAAGTTCAGTTAATTAGTATCCCAGATAGAAAACATATTGGCTACCACCAGTCTTAATTTTGTCAGTGCTGTTTGTTATATTAGGTCCTCTTTATAAATATTTATTAGATTTATTGCTTAACTGTTATGGGAGGATTGTCAGATAAATTATAAAGGAAATATTTTATGCATTATATAAAATTATTTATCTATTTATATACATATAATTCTGTGTGTGTGTGTGTGTGTGTGTATAAATAAATAAATTCTTTTTCCAATTTCAGGACTTCATGTATTTTGAGAGATCTCCACCATCACGTTCATCAAGATAGAGGGACACAGCAAATCAGCAATTATGGTTTTAAAAAAAAGTTTAGGAAAGCTGGATTGGTTCACAGTCACCCTCAGTTGTCTGCAGATACATTTCTCTGCTCGTGCAGATCATGTTTATTTGGTGTTGGCTTTGACGGGTGGCCTCAGACTGTAAGAGCACAGCCTGATGTGCGTTGCAGTGAGTATGTGTCTCATTGTCTGCCGGTAGAATAAGAGTTCATCCTGAAAAAGCTGTGAGTCATTAACCAAGTAAGTACAGACATGAGGAGCTGGAAAACACTGCCTGTGAGACGGGGGAGGAGTCCCAGAGCACAGGGAATGTCCAACCACCTCTGACCAAAGACAGATTTCATTCCAGGGGAAAAGAGTCATACTCTTCATCTTTAAAAACAAAAAGGAAGGCAGACAGAAACATTATATTTTATTGTACAAGGAACATTTTACTTGTGCACACGTATCAAAGCCTCATTTTGAAAAATTTATTAAAGTTTCAAAGGCAAACTTGATTTTATTATAAAATAATTTTTTTTTTAATTTTTATCATAAGGTTTATATTTTCCATGCCTGTTGCTGCTAGCATGGACAATCAGGAGATGCCTTATATGTGAAGTCAAGGTCAGACTGTCAGGAAAAAAAGGTGACCAGGGCCACAGCCACTCTAGGTCTCTTAGCAACTCAGACACATCAGTGCCCTCCTAAAGAGCTTGCATTTAATGCATTTAATCTCTCTTGGTCACGGCTGCCTTATGTATAAAATATTTGCGGCCAAATCTCTAAGATTGCCCATTGAACCTTTGAATCTCCTTTGATGGAACATGGAGCTGATCACTTCTTTTCTTTCAAGAAGATCGCTGATCATCATTCTGCTGTTTTAATGGCAAGAGCTGGAGTTTTGTTGTCAAATTTTGAAATGTGACAGTCTGTGTAGCACTTTGTAAAAGCAAGAACTACAAATTCTGACGCCGCTTACTATTGCATTGTGGCTTTTTAAGTAATAGATAAATCTGTATCTATGCAAAGATAATAAAACAGTAAACATTCTACAGATTATATAAGGTCAGTACAGATTATATACAATCCATGTAGTTAAGGTGTAAATTGCACTTGTTTGTAGGAACCAAGTAACAGCATAGTATATTAGTGACTGCACTCTGCTAAATCCACCTGCTTCTGTTACATCTGAGCGTCCCATCTGGACACGGACTGTGTTTTAACAGAGCCCGTACGTAGACTGCAATGTGTCTTCTGCTCCTTGTTAAACCAAGCGAGCTGAGTGTTGTTAGATGTCGTTATTCTGAGATGAGGGATTTCACCCACAGTTCTTATTGAAGTGAAAGAAAACTGCTTCACTTTTTTCTTATTTTAAAAGACTCACATGATCCCTGGCCGGTTTGGCTTAACAGTTAGAGCACCGGCCTGTGGACTGAAGGGTCCCAGGTTTGATTCCCAGTCAAGGTCATGCACCTGGGTTGCAGGTTTGAGTCCCCAGCCCCAGTTGGAGTCATGCAGGAGGCAAGCAGTCTATGTGTTCACGTCGCTGTTTCTCTCTCTCTTCCCCCATCCTTCCCTTCCACTCTGTCCAAAAATCAATGGAAAAATATTCTCGAGTGAGGATTAAACAAAGAAAATAATAATAATAGAAAATAAAATGAGTTTAAAGACTCACATGAAATTGCTAGACTGGAACAAGAAGGCTGAATACCTGGCTGGTGTGGCCTGTTGGGTGGGCATCACCCCGTGCACTGAAAGGTTGCGGGTTCGATTTGTCAGGGCACATGCCCGGGTTGTGGGCTCCATCCCCAGTAGGAGGCGCACAGGAGGCAGCTGATCTGTTTCTCTCTCACACTGATGTTTTTCTCTCCCTCTCCCTTCCTCTCTCTCTAAAAATCAATAAAAATCTTTTTTTAAAAAAGAAGGCTGAATAAATAGCAAACAATGGATAGTATTCCACAAAGGCAAGTAAATACAGAACATTGACAGAGATAGAGAACTTTGGCGCGATGTTCTTTTTGATGTTTTTATTGATTTTTTTAGAGAAGGAGAAAGGGAGAGAGATAGAAACATTGATGAGAGAGAAACATCAATCAGCTGCCTCCTGCACGCCCCCTACTGGGGATGGAGCCTGCAACCTGGGCATGTGCCCTGACTGGGAATTGAACCAGGACCTCTCAGTCCCTGGGACGACGCTCAATCTCCTGAGCCACAGTGGTGGGGCCTGCCTCATTTTTTAATTATATTCATCTTTTCATGGCAAAAGTTGTCTACTCAGTTTCTTGTAACATTAATTTTTATGCAGGACTACTAAGCTTTTTTAAAAATGTAAAAGCTGCTGCTTTCTAAAATACTAATTACCTTGTATTTGAAAGTGCACTTGCAGTTATAGACATGTATATTTTTCCTCGTAATAATGTCAGACATTTCTGTAGAAAATCAGACAAATAGTATTAAGGACATGTATCTATATAAAGCTTTTCACTTTTACTTGCCTACATCCCATTCCAAGACCTGCTGCATAATACTAAGAAGAAATTATTTTTAACGTATGACATTTAAAATTTTTGTTTAAAGTTGTGGCATTAACATGTCTCTTACAGTTATAATCCCTCTTTCCTTAACCATGTGTCTCATATTTTTATATTATAGTTTGTATTATAATTTCTATTTCTTAATGCCAGTTCATTGTGTAAAGTAGGTCAGATTACTTTTAAAAAGTATTCTCTGAAATTTGTATGTTTTCGTGCTTCATCATACTGTTTTTGGTTTTTCAATAAATACGATATGGCTTATAAAAAATACTCTTATTTTTTTTGACTTGTGATTGAGTCTTGCTTTAGGCTGAATGTTTGTATTCCCTCCAAATGTATGCACTACCCCAGTGTGATGCTATTTGGAGGTGGGCTCTTTGGGGAGTGCTATGCATGTGGGTGGAGCCCTCGTGAACAGGATTAGTGCCCTTGGAATGTGTCAGCTCCTTGATCTTGGACTTACCAGCTTCCAGAACTGTGAGAAATGAAGGTTTGCTGCTACGCCATCTGTGCACAGGATTTTGTTACAGCAGCCCAAAGGGATTAAGACAGGAGGGAGGTGCGGCTGTAACCAGTACCTAAAACTGTGGGGGCGGGTAACAGGCAGAGGGACAAGGGTTTTGAGGTGCATTCCAGAAAAGGCCTGGATTGCCATGAACAGAATTTGGACGATGGTTCTGGGGAGAGCTACAAAGGTCATCCCAAACAAAATGTTGGTAGAAATGTGGGCCATGAAAGCCAAGATGGAAAAGAGAAACAGACCCTTGGAAACTGGAGGCAGGCAGTCCTTGCTATAAAGCAGCAAAAGAGCCTGGCTGAATGGTGTTTGTCTTCTATTGTTTTGTGGAAGGTAGAACTTGGAAGCAGTGAAGCTGGGTATTTAGCTGATTTTTTTTTTTTTTTTAAGATTGGCCCTTTTTATTTATTTAAATCCTCACCTGAGGATATTTTTCCATTTATTTTCAGACAGAGTGGGAGGGAAGGAGAGAGAGACACACATGGAGTGGTTGCCTCCCGCACAACCCTGACCAGGGCCAGGGATCGAGGTACGTGCCCTTGCCCGGAATCGAACCCATGACTCTGGCCTGCTGGCCAATGCTCTGACCGCTGAGCTTAACTGGCCAGGGCAGCTGAAACAAGTTCTAATCGAAGGTTTGAAGGCGCTACTTGGATCCACCCAATGGCTTACAGTAAAATGTGAGCAGAGAGATGGATGAAAGGTGGGAATTGCGAAGCAAAAGGAAGCAGAATTTAGAGATTTGGAAAATTCCTGGCCTATCCATATTGTAAATCAACACTAAGGTTGTGGCCAAGAAGATGGATGTGGACCAGCATTCTCAGGGGAAGCCAGGAGCTGCTCTCCAAGACAACGGAGGAAGAACCGCCTCCCCACCCCAAGGCTAGTTATTTACTTTCTTTATTGATTTTAGAGAGAGAGTGGGAGAGAGAGACAAGCATTGATGAGAGAGAACATCAATTGGCTGCCTCCTGCATGCCCCCCACTGGGGATTTGGCCCACAACCTGAGCATGTGCCCTGACCCGGAGTTGAACCGGTGACCTCTTGGTGCAGGGTCAACGCTCAACCACTGAGCCACACTGGCCGGGCCCTAGGCGATTTATTGATCAGCAGAGCTGCCACTCAGGCCCAGTGCAAGGGCCTGGCGGGCAGCGCAGTCAGAGGGCTGCCGGCACCCGTGGGATCCGTGCATGCTGCCTGGCACTCCAGGGTGGAGGTGCTGCCCTCTGACGCATGCTCGAACGGCACCCAGATTCGGCTCTGCCAGCCTGTTACGGCACGGGCTTCAGCAGCCACCGAGTCCAGAGGGTGCAGACAGAAAACTTGGGTTGTGTCCTGTGGCTCAGTCTCTACTGTGATGCAGAGAGCACAGTGCCTCTACCTGGGTTTCAAAGGACAGGGCTGTATGGTAGAGCGCAGGCTCAGAGCCCCAGCCGCGGGGCCAGACTTAGAGGCTCAGGTCATTCTGCCCAGCCCTGTGGGGGACATGGCCACCCCAGTGGGCCCAGCAGGCAAAGACTGTTCTTGAGCCCTAAGGTTTAATCTTGTTTGTCCTGTTTGGTCTTGGACTTACCTGGGACCTGTCAGTTTTTTTTTTTCTTTCCTGTTTCTCCCTTTGGAATGAGAATGTCTGTTCATGCCTGTCCCACCATTTATTTTGAAAACAGCTCATTTGTTTGGTTTCCCAGGTTCATAGCTGGAGAGCCTTCGGATGAGTCATACCTGAGTCTCACCCTTATCTGACTTCGATGAAATGTAGGAGACTCGGGACTTGGGCTTGTGAGTTGTTGCTAAAACAAGTTAAGACTTTTTGGCTATTGAGATGTGTCAATGTTGCCCCGGCCAGTTTGGCTCAGCAGTTAGAGAGTCGGCCAGCAGACCAGTGAGTCATGGGTTCAATTCCGGTCAAGGGCACATACCTCCTTTGTGGTTTGTCCCCAGCCCTGCTCAGGGTCGTGCAGGAGGCAACCGGTCAATGTGTCCCTCTCATGTCGATGTTCCTCTCTCTCTCTCTCCCTCCCTCCCACTCTATCTGAAGGTAAATGGAAAAATATCCTCGGGTGAGGATTAAGGTAGTTACCAGCCAACAGCAACCTGGTAACAATGACAATGAGGACACCTGTGGTCTCCTCGCTGGTGCAGTACCTGGAATGAGGACTCCAGGAAAAGGAACTGAATGTGACATTCCAAAGGTATGTGATCTTAGATGCAAAAACACACCAGACAGGCCCAATTCAGGTAAAGATTGACCTTTCTCAGGAAAGATACCGGCCTAGGACATGACCACCCACCATAAACTGCTTTTAGTTACAAAGTTTTCATTTCAGACCCTCCCGTGGGGTGACTTTAGGTCTCTGAGTCTGTACGGCCACAAGCAGGCCCCCCCGCCCAACTTGTCAGGTTGAAATGTGGGCCCTTTGCATCCAGGGAAGGGTGCATTTTCAAACAACGTTCTCTTAATGACCAGATTTCCCAGGAATGATACAAAGAGCTGGTGACCAGACTAATTTACTAGCTGAATTTTTCACCAAACAGATGTTAAATTCAAGTGTAGAATAAGCAGTGGTTCCAGAAAACAGCATCGCCCCTGTGCGGGGATACCGGCTGCCTCTCTGGTAGACATGCCAAACATTACTCATTCAGTTCACCCTCCCACCCCCTGATGCAGAGACTGTGCATTTTGCAGATGAGACAATGGAGATGGGGGCGTCCGGCTGACCCACAACAGCAGTATTTGAAGCTGGCTCCAGAGGCTACACCTCAAACCACTATGCTCTGTGCTTCCTGTGTGATATGTGATTTCTTTGTGCGTTGACAGAAACATGGAGAGACAGCAGCAAAGTGCCCTGGGGCCGTGTACCTCAGGTGTACTCAGGGCAGGGTTCCGCTGGGAAGCCCGCGAGGCGCGCAGGCGGTCTGGTCTGAGCATGCGCTCTGAGAGGCTTGCTTTTGCTTCTGCGGGTATCCCAGGCTCAGATCAATCTATTTGGGGGAAATTGCAGACACAGTCCTTTCCCTGAGTAATTTAAAAAGCATTTTTGCTCACATTGTCTTAGCTAACAGTCGCTAAATATAATTTATTTGAGTTTTAATTTTTTCCATTATAACGGGTAAGAACGGACCACCAGAAACTGGATAATATTTTAAAACTGGTTTTGCAGGATAGGCACCCAGCGGAAAGGCAAGGAAGCCATTCGAATGACAAAATTTTCCTCCAGCTTTGTAGCCCCAGCCCAGGCCCGCTCACCACAGGGGGCAGCACAAGCTCATGCAATTTGTAGTAACCTAGGCTCATTTTTTTTCAACCAGGAATAATCTTGGCACTCATCTCTAAGTTTTAAAGGATAGAGCGAAGGA